CCAATGCGAAGTGCATTGGACTGAGTCCTGTTAATACACAGTTCTAATAATAACAGCATCTTAAATTCAGTAGATGAAGTACTATTTTCTGTGAGGATTTTTTTTTTTCAGTATTTAAGGCTTACAATCAGTTCTTCTAGTCAGTTTTATAACTCAGAGAAACAGGTTCTCCCCATGTAAGGCATGTTCCTTGTGTTACAAATCAGTGGTTGGACTTTTTTCTTTTCCCTTTAAAAAGATATCTGATGTATCTCTCTGAAAAACCATAAAAGGAAATCTAACTGTTGCTTTCAATGGTTTGAAAGGATTGTAATAGGGAACGTGTACCTTGCCAATAATGGTGTATTTCCTAACGTACTATTTCTTTGGAGGTCGCTGTGGTGTAATAAATAAAGCCTGATAGAACAATAGTGTTCTGCCTCACTGTGTTATGAAATACAGGACGACTACAGCTAAATGCTGATGCTTCTAATTACAGCAGCTTTCAGAGATGGGACCTTTTGATCTAGGCTTACCTCATGGATTTAATTGCCTTTTAGAAAGGCTCAGACTACATGGAATATTCTACTGCAACACTGTCTTTAGGGTCATATACATCACAATATTTTTTTAAAAGTGCATTGCCTTATTTTGCTGTGCATTGTGGGATTGGGTTTTAAAAGCAGCATCTTTTAATCTCTAGTAATGGTGATTCTGCATATAGAATGAGTGGAAATCATTTAGTTCTCTGGTAGTGCTCAGACTGCTACGCTGAGCTTCAGTCCAGACCTCAATATTTGCTAATGGAGAATTAGTTTAACACTTGGCAGCTGATGCTTTTCAGGGAATCAAGAATGTATTGTGGTTAGCTGTGGCTCTCTCCTGGTGACACTTCTCTGGCTGTAAAAACAGAGCTAGGTTGAGAATTCACCTGCATCTGGATGGTAAAGTTATTTATGCTCCAGTACATGAGACTTTGAAGCACTTTGAGGTTTGCTGTTAATGATGCATCTTGGCAAGTGAGCAGCAATCCCCTGGCACTAGCTCACAGACCTGTGTTAGTGGAGTGAGTGAAAATCTGGGAGATCTCCTGTCCAAGAATGAAATCCTAGTCCTCAGGCATATGAGCAAAGTTGAATTTTAGAGTAGTTCTTTTCATAGTGTTCTTTGCAGCAATGTCCTACAAGTATGTTAGTTTTTAAGAACTTTCTGGGGCTCAAAGAATTTTTGTAATTCCATGATGAGTTTTCCACATTTGAGTTTTTGGAGAAACCGCTGTCTGCTTCCTTCGTGTTTCATAAGTGGTTACTGGGTTTATACTGCTAGTGAGTATTATGGGAGAAATAAAAATCTCCTTAGCAGGCTAGAGTCAAGATACTGCTCTGTTATAAAGTCTGCTGTTAGCTGCCCTAGGCAAAAGCAAATTAATGCATCTGTCCCTCTGCCAGGATGAGCTATAGAATGTTGAATATCGAGACATTGTTTAGATCTGTCCTGTTCAGGCCTGTCAACTTAGGAATCTCTGTTCTTAATTACAGTAGTACTTGGGCAGCAGTGGGCAAGAACATAGAGTGAGGTAGATTAGATAGAAAGCAGCAAATGTAAAATGCAGCAAATTCCCAATTGTCTACAATTAATATTTTTAACAAGTGCATCACCGTTTCTTTGTGTTGGCTGCCTGCTGTTTTCACTCTGCTTTCTCTGCATGCTCAATATTTTTCTCCCATCTGTCCCTTGTTCCTTGGCTGTAATGATGGGACAGATGTACTGCCTCCTAAGTCTTCATCTTAGAGCTTGTATTAAAACAACCTCATTGCTCCATCCCTCCCTAGCAGTATGTATGTGTCATGTTTCTTTATCATCTCCCCTTCCCCATTCTCTCTCTGCTGTATATAGACATATACATGTACAGCAATGTGCTCTCTCTCATGGTCTACATACACACTACATACATGAGGTATGAAATATTGATCACTACATATACATATATGTACACTTATATATAAATATGTACATATATTTGTACATATGCATTTATGTGTATATATAAAAATGTACCTTTCACTGTACAAGATTCTTTTTATTGGCTTCTTATGACGTGGAATAACACATTCTTCTTTGTAATTGGCCCTTCAAACTCTGTAAGGGAAGTTTTTTATGTAAAAACTTCGCTTTGTTCATGAGATTCTGTTAGGCTCAGCTGTGCTTTGAACTGTTAAAAACTGTCATTTCTGTTGGATGTTTTCCTCAGGAGATATTTTGGGTATGTGAAAATAATAGCTAGAGAGAAAAAGTAGCAAGAATAGCATCTGCTATACTTGGAGGGTCTGAGAACACAGATCTGAGTCCATCCGCTGCAGTTCACTGCCTTCCTCTCCTGACATGCAGGCTGCAATGTGAAAAGTTCATGGTACAGACTACTGCTGGAGGAGGGGAGGAAGCAAATGTTATTGTTAGTGGTTTGCTGTTTTCTTTCAGCAGAATCAGCCTTGGAAGTTTTTACCAAAATTCCCCCTAGAACAGATTAGCTTTGCAATTAATACAGTCTTTGCCTGCACTTTCCCCTCAAGTTAGGAAACACCAGTGCATTCCCTGTGTGTTCAGCTCAGTTCTTGTCACCTCTGCAAATGCTTTGGATTTTAATATTCTTAGGAAGAAACTATTTTTTCTCTAAAATACACTTTTGTCTTTAGTGTGTAGGTTAAACTGAGCCTAAGAATTGATTTGTCAGTGCTAACACATGCTCAGTACATGGAGCAGACTGAGCACTCTTTAGTTCATCCACATTGCTAGATATTGAAAAAACCACCTGCTGCTGAGATTCAGAGCTCTCACAAAACATGATAATGAATTTAATATATGTGAAAAATGCAGCAGGGTGTTAGGGAGCTATTTGTTCTCCAAGCCCTTGTTGGATAGAGTAAGCTGTTCTGGCATTAGAATTGCAGCAAGATTCAGATTAGGCTTTTAGCAGAACTCTCCAAAGGCAAAGACAGTAAAGTGCTGAGATAGCTTGTGTGCAGAGTCCATACATTTTTTTAATTCTTTACCAGTTTAGATAAATTTCTGTCAGGGACCAAGTATTGATTCATATCTCGAATGTTGCTCTATCCAATATGACAAATCAAAGCTTCCTGTTTAGAAGAGCTCAGCTGGAGATAAGTGATGTTGAAGTGAACTGGCATGAAACCAGCCCTGCTTGTGCCTACTACATCGAGATGGGTTGGAGGAAGGATTGGGTTTATGCTAAGGCACAATTCAAGATCTTCATCCCCAGTACAGCTCCAGAGCTCTATGTAAGCCTGTGTCTGCCAACATGCTTGCATGCAAGTGCTATGATGGCAGGAGAGTCTGGCTTGGACCTGTCTTTTTAATACATTTTAGGGTTACTCTGGCTGCTGTAGATCTGTATTTTCCAAAGTTTGAAAGTTTGGTTGCAGGCATTCTTTTTGATGCAATATTTTTTCAGTATGTGTGGCCATATAGCTGGCAAGGTTTTCTATCGCATAGTACTTTCCTTCCCAGACATTTCTACTAATTTCAGATCATGCTGTTGAGTCCAGTGGATGTAACTGAAGCAGAAGGTTTTGCCCAACAGCAGTAAAGGGTGTAAAGTGACCATAATCCCCAATGAGGTGTGCTTTTAAAATAACGAGCCACTGTGATAGGTTTAACCCTTATTTTCTTATTTTGGCATTTATTTGTTGTTGTTTTGCAATTTTATTATCAACAGTGAGGAAGATGCTTTCTGTAGGAATCTATTAAGATAGAGAGGGTAAAATGAGTGAGTATATGAAGGACAGTTTTGTGTCTCCAAATCTTACCCTGGTATTGCTTTTTAAACAAGCTTTACTTTGAGTTTCTAGCTGCAGGTGTAAATTAGCCAGCAATTCCCACGGCCCACAGTGTAGCTGTATGAAAGAAGCCAAATTCCAGTCCAGGTCTGCAGTCTTTCTATGTGAGTCTGCCTTCTTTTGGGGGTACTCTGCAGACACCACAGTGTGTGTGTATGAATTGAAGTGAAGGCTGAAAAATGTTCGTTTTGTGTTTGTTTGCTAGCATGCTTGTGTACTCAGACACTTCACTGAAAAATAATAGCAGGCAAACCATAAGTTGGGCAGAAAGAGTTGAAAGAGATTATCTCTTTTACCAGAAAATTGTACAGTAGGCAGAAGTACAATGGAAAAGAAATGGAAACTTCATTTTGGCAACGGTGTTTTAAATATTTTTCTCTAAGCCCAACTCTGAGAGTGATGTGGTTGCATAAGAACTTGTGTCTGAAGGGTGAAAATCCAGAAAGAAAATAGAAAGAATGGCAAATGTTAGTTTTATAATGTGAGATTATTTTTAGTCGTGTTCTTACTACATTTTAGGGAACCTGCCCTGTTGTATTTTGTGTCCTTGAATATACTGAGCATTTTGAAGATGTTATAAAAGTGAATGTGCTTCAAAGCAATGGATTTTGAAATAGAAAATGTTGGTTGTAAGTCAGAAGATGCATTACTGGCAAAATGTATTGGGTATTCCTATACAGTTAAACAGTGAAGGAACTTTATTTCTGCAAAGACTGTGTGTGTCTGGGACATAAAGAAAGGCATACTTGAAATACTGTTGTGGGGAGGAGAGGCCAAAGGTATTTCTTCGTGTCTTAAAGCAGGTTGGGACCCCTCTTAGCAGGCAGATTCGTGGCTTAATTAGGAGTTCAGGTTTTAGGCCATTCATTGCAGGTTTCAAAACGATTTTCTTCGTTTCTTCACCTGTCATGTACACAACTGCTCGGTTAGACACTTAGCATGGTAAGTGCATGCATACTTCCCTGTTCCAGCCTGTGAAGTTGTGCTATACATTGTGGGCAGGAGGATTCCCAGATCCAGACCTTTAGCCACTGGCACCAGCTCCTTTGCGGGTTGAACTCGAAGGGCTGAGCTAACTGAGGTGGGGAGAGCCTTGTTCACCTCTGAGAGGGTCTGCTAGGCTGCGGCAATTCCCACCCCACTTCTCTGATCCATTCTCTCTCGCAGGCAGGAATGGCATCTCCAGAAAATCCCGAGCAGTTGATCATTGCCCTGGAACCCGAGGCTGCTTCTATCTACTGCCGAAAGCTTCGCCTGCACCAGATGATAGACCTGAGTAGTAGGGCACCTGTCAATGGCTACAGCCCGAGTGACACTATTGGAACTGGATTTACACAGGGTACTTCTGTTAATTCACTTCTTTAGATTCTTATGCCTAAGTTTGCTTTGTCCACAAGGGCTGTTTTCTTACCATTTCTTGTCCTTGTTCTCTTGAAATGTTTCAGGCTAGCACCAGTTTGGTTTTATGAACTGTTTTGCTGTTTACTGTAGTTAGTCTAGTTTAGGCATTGATCCAGCAAACGTCGGAGAATGGTTTGGGTTGGAAGGGACCTTAAAGTTCATCTGGTTCCAACACCCCTGCCATGGACAGGGATACCTTCCACTAGACCAAGTTACTCATAGCCCCATCCAGCCTGGTCTTGAACACTCAGAGGTATGGGGCATCCACAGCTTCTTTGGGCAACCTGTGCCAGTGCCTCACCACCCTCTGAGTAAAAGAATACTTCCTAATATATGCTTGAATTGTAGGATGCAGGTAGCTTCCTTCCTTTGCCTTTATTTGGATGTTGTGGGAGTCTTTTTAGTATTTTCACAACAGTATTTTTCTGCCTTAATTTAAGTCAGTACTTAATGTTGGATTATTTTTTTCATTACTTTGTTGGAAGACTACATTATTGAAGCAGTGTTAAATAATTGGATCTGCAATGAAATTACTAGTTTGAGGTGTTCTGGAGTTTTGACAGATGCTTTTTGATGTCATCTTTATGAATTGTGATTAATATCTTTGAACACTCAGTGGAACACACAGTACTGGGATATAGCAATGAATTTATCTGCTCATGGAAGAGCAGCTAGATAGAGCACTTCTGATTTATTGACCTGGGATCTGTTGCTAATGTCAGTGTTTGAATATTGACTTACAGTGAGGGACAGAGGTTGAAGCACAGTGTAAATCACTTGCCAATAGATCCTTCATCACCAGAGTTTTTTGAGCTTGATATACTATGGAAATTGGAGGGAAATAAGGAAGAAAGAAAAAAGGAAAATGAAGCAGCAGTAAGATTTGATTGTTGCATATTGCACTTATTTCCCATCTGTGTGAATTGTAACAGTTGCCCTGATATTGATGGTAGGGTGATAATCTATCCCAGAAGGAATTTTTCAGACAAAACTGTATTTTATCAAATTTGCTAGGTCAAAACAATAGAGGCACAGGGAAGATTAAGCTAGTAAACAATTCCTGCACTTACCAGAGTGTGTATTTTTTTTAGTTAGACAGAGTCCCTACATTATTCTCTCAAATCCATGCCTCTCCTTGCCAGCACTTGTCAGATGTGTTCAGTGTTTGGAGGCCCACACAGAGTACAGGACACAGTCTGTTGTCAAGTTACAGTCCCTTCAGGGGCATCTCAGCTTCCATCCCCCTTGTTTGTGCCCTGAACCATTCCAGTTCCATGTGATTTTACATGAACTCACTTTCAGACAACACAGGGATTTGCCTCTGGGAAAATAATAAAAGAAAAAGGTTTCTCTGGTTCAGATTTTGAAGCTGGGCAGAATCTGGCAGATCGTGGATTTATGCTAAGGGGCTTTTTCTTGGATGGGGGTACCACTCTCCTTCTTGACTTTGTATGGTAAAAGCTATTGGGGATGAGAAAGGTTTCATGTCAAAATTAATGAAAACAAAGTTTGGAGTGAATTAATTTGGGGTTAGAATTAAAATTTCATAAAGGCATGGCAGGCACCCAAGACAAGCTGAGAACAGATTAGGGTGAAAAACACTTTAAATGTAAACAGAGAAGCACTCCAAGGACCATATTATTGCTGTGAAGTCAAAACAAGAATTTTACTGTTCATAGTAGCCAGGATAAGCTTACTTCAGTTGTAGTTAAAGACTGGCTCTTCTGTTTGCTTCTAGTCCACAGGAGTGAATGAAAGGACTGCCTTTGACTGCTGTGGGCTCTGTCTCAGGCCTTTGCTTAGACCTAGTGCTTGTTCTGTCATTGAATGCTTCTCCATTTGAGCTCCCTCTGTGCTGCCAAGTCAGTGCAGTGAGGCTGGTGTGGCTTGTCTGCATTGGGGGGTCTTTATGGGGAGGGTATGGGAGCCAGGGGAGCTCCTGGTCTGTTTTGGAATGATAGGCACTACAGAAATAGGAAGCGAAATCCATTCTGTGGTTTGGATGCTGATATTTTCAGAAAGAATTTGCACACATGACAGGATGCCTCTTGTGTAGTTTTTATAGAAGTGCCTTCGAAGGTGAGTGAAGTTGACACAGAGAATGTTGTTTGCTGATCACACAGTTGTAGAGGTTGATTTAGAAGCAGAATAGCAAAGGTTCTCCTTACTCTGCTTTCTCTTCACAGACCATTCTGCATCTTTTGAATGTCTAAGTAGCAATTGAGTCTTGTAAGTTAACTGATTGCTGTAATAGTATTTATAGATTATGCTTAATTTTTAAGTGGTATATATTCCAAATACCATGAGGGTCAGACTTTGTGATCACTGTGTCCTTAAGAAGTTTATTAATCTGAGCAGCAGTGCTTTTGGCTGCTAGTTTTGAGATAGACTGACACCCTGAAAGGCTGGGGAGGCATATTTGCCTGAGCGCTTAAAATGAACAGTGACTTTTGGAAATGTGGGGATGGTCTCCCAGCCCAGGCAGTGCAGGGAGAACTGGCAGCAGGCTGGGGCTGCCAACAGAGGCTG